CAAACACACCCACATCACCCCGCTTCTCCTCCAGCTTCTCTGGCTGCCAGTCAACTTCAGGGTTCATTTCAAGATCCTGGTTCTGGTCTATGGGGCCTTACATGGACAAGCACCATCTTACATTGGTGATCTTCTTAGTCCCTACACCCCCAGCAGGTCCCTGAGGTCCAGTGATCAAAGCCTACTGGTTGTGCAGCACCAGGCTAAAGACCAAAGGTGACAGATCATTTGCTGCTGTGGCCCCCAGACGCTGGAACTCTCTTCCCCTGAGCCTGAGATCAGTGGACTCAGTGGTCTCCTTCAAAAAGCAGCTGAAGACTCACTTGTTCAAGCTGGCTTTTGTATGACCTTCTTCACCACTCTCTCTTTATTCTGCTCTGCCCACCTATTCCACCTTCCTCAGGATCCACTGTTTTCCCTCTTTCCTATTCACTCTCTCTCTTTCTTAACATATTTTTAAATCCCAATTGTCTATTTTAGCTCATTCTAAATATATTTTTAAACATTTTCTAAATGCTTTTTTATATTTTTACATTTTTTGTTTTTGTGAAGTGCCTCGTGATTTGTATCTTGAGAGGCGCTATAGAAATGATATTTTCTTCTTCTTCTTCACCAGATACCTGCATCTGTGGTGTTGGGGTCTGATCTGAGGAAGGATTTCATCAGTGAGACTCCTGTGTGGTTTGGTTCATCTTCATCACAGACAACAGTTGCTCACATGAGTTTGTGCTGCTGAACATGTAGAGCAGGGATTCCCAAAGTGTGGTGCACGCACCCCCGGGGGTGCGTGAGATGCCGCTAGGGGGTGCGCGAGGTGAAAAGTGTAATGGCTGCGGAGCTCAGAGAAGTCTGTCATATGCAGTGTTGGGAGTAACGCCATTTAAGTATAACGGCGTTTCTAACGGCGTTCTTTTATAGGTAACGGAATAATCTAATTAATTACTTTTCCCGCCGTTACAACGCCATTACCGTTACTGGGGACGGAAGGTTGTGCGTTACTATGTGCTTGTCGAACGTTGAGCAACAGGCTTTCTGACCGCCACACTTCAGCTGCAGCCAGGGAGAGAGAGGTGTCGGCGCGCTAGGATGATGATGACGCCAAAACAACCAAAACAAAGTGGAGACTCACCTCTCACATCAGGAAGACTCTGCGTGTTTGAGCATTATCCGTTCTTTCATAATCCGTTGTTGAATTGTGATCGGCAGAAGCTTTTCCGGTTCGCGCCTCACTTTTTACAGCAGCGGCCCACGTCTTCTTTTATCAAAACGTCGTTTCTGTTACTGATAAGGAAGTGCGTGCGTTAAGCAGCGCGGTGTGTTGAAGCTGTCATCAGCTGACCAGGAGCTAGAGCATCCAAGAGCATCACGGCCCGTGAAGAACGAGGAAGACGTGATGAATATCTACGGCTACAGACCCCCCGCAGATTCGCTGCTGCAGGTGGGAATCTGCAGCAGCGAATCTGCGGGTCTGCAGCCGTGCCCTTCTTGGCGTGACAGCGGGACGTCCCGAAGGCCCGCTCACCTTTTCACCGCTCAGACGTCCTGATCTTCTGCCTTCCTACATCATCCAGCTGTAACCTGTTTCTGATCATGTCTTTAGTCCTGCTGTAACACTGATGCATCAGTCTCAAACAACATGGGAGCTCAGGTGTTATTAGAACTACCTGTGTGTGTTTACCACCCAGCTTCAGCTCTTCTGTGGTTGGGTCTGACCCACGTTAGTACATGTAAGTCCTCCATCAGGCTTGTGCCTCTTCTAGTGTCATTTTAAAGGATTTTATTTATTTATTTAACCGTTACTAGATTAGCAGCAACAGAAATGCTACTAAAAACACACAATTATGTGAAGCTGGAAAAATTAGAATACTGTGCAAAATTACATTTATTTCTGTAATTTAACTAGACTGAGAGACCGTTTAAAGGCTCGGGAACCTTTACAGGTGTTTCTATTTGCAATTATAAATGTTAGCTGATTGGGGTCTTGTTAAATATCACACAGTGACCTGTTAATAGTCTAGATTAGTGTAATGTTCCTGTTAGTAGTTCCTCCTGTTAAGTGCTTATTTATTGAAATTATTCAGGTTTATAAAAAACATTTTGGACATACATTTTATTATGTTCCAGTCATTAGTCATTTATATTTCACTATTGTAGTAATTCTTGCATTCTTTAATGAAAAAAGTAACTAAGTAGTTATTTTTGTTGGTAATTAGTTACTTTTATGATCTTGTAACTCAGTTAGTAACTGAGTTACTTTTTTGACAAAGTAATCAGTAACTATAACTAATTACTTTTTTAAAGTAACGTTCCCAACACTGGTCATATGTCATCATTATCGTAGCCAGAAACTCATTTGTGGGTGGGCCAAAGAAAAAGTAAGTGGGCACAATAAATATAATTGAAAACAAGTATATTTTTGCGCGCGCGCGTGTGTATCCTCCACATGTGCCCTATAGCTTCATAACAATGCGCCGAGCTTCAGCACTCTGGCCTGCGCACGCCGATATGTTCCGTCGTGCGCGCGCGTGTCCTCCACATGTGCCCTAGCTTCATAATAACAATGCACTGAGTTTCAGCACTCTGGCCTGCGCACGCCGATATGTTCCGTATTTGATCATTTTTAACGGTGTTGGAGAAATCTGAAGGTGGCGAGTCATTCTGGCAGATTGTAATTAACACCCTGTCTCATTAGTTTAAATAGCGCCAATAACGAGACGCGGTGACTTGAGCGGCTCATGGAGCTGTGCCGCACGCGCGCACACACACACACACACACACACACATACACTCACAGATTCAATAAGCGCGCATGCTGCTTTAACTCCAGCGCGCCGTCATACTGAAGGCAAAAATGAGCGCTGCCTCCTCCGTGATAAAAACTTTTAAGAGGTTTTATAACAACATTTTTTATTCAAGGTCAAATTAAGATATTAGCTTCTATTTTGGGATGATGTATTAAAGTCGGGTCCACTCCAGCCAGTGACTCCTCATGAACCTGACCACAAGTCCTGTTACTGCAGCATTTGTTAGTCCGCGTGGCAGCGGATCGCAGGTTCAGCCACACCAAAACAGCAATAAGTCGGTCTGAGGCAAAAGTGAACCTCATGGCTTTTCCATCTTTTCCCGTATTTGATTACGCACAAGTAGGTGACCAGTTCAGGTTTACGCAGAGCAGAAGGAAGGAGAGCGCTCTGCACACACAGGTTAAACGTTTCTACTTTGAGAAAACCATTAAATTGCATTGTTTATGTGCTACCTGGGCACTCTAAATATTTATTTAAAATGAAATCAAAAGAAATTGTAATGGTATCGAATGTTTATTAATTACTATTTTAAAAAATGAAAGTGATGGGGAAAAAGGTCGATCATATCTTTTTAACCCTGTCTGTTTAGCTTGACGTCTGAGCCGTGCCCTGATGTGGGGGGGGGGGGGGGGGGGGGGTCTGCGTCGACATGGTCGGGACATAGCAGGGGGTGCGCGGCTAAATACGTTTGGGAACCGCTGATGTAGAGCATTGGAGCAGCTGGACCGTGCGGTTGTGTCAGTGTGTCGGGGAGGAAAGATAAACCAAAAGGATCTGGCTGCGGCCGCTGTGGAGCTCCACAGTAACCGGAAGCACGTGATCTCCACAGTAACCAGAAACACGTAACTTTACTTAAATCGACTTTGACCAAATTGCGATTTTGTTACTGTTGATGCTGCTGAGAAATAAAAAGCTCCTGTGTGGAATGTATGCTTGTAGTAGTGTGTCTTAGTGGAGCTCCACAGTAACCGGAAACACGTGACCTCCACAATAGCCGGAAGCACGAAAGAACTATTTACGCGTTACCATAGCGATCAGAGAGCATTAAGAAGCGTGCCCGTCTGAGAAAAGTGTATAAAGCATGTAGTGAGGGTTTTTTACAGTCTTAACATCTATAATAATTGTAAAAAATAAAGTTGGTTACTTCATGGATTTCACCTACCGCGGGTTATTTTTAGAACGTAACTCCTGCAATAAACGAGGGACTGCTGTATTATTAATAGTAGAGTCTGGGACATCTAATTGATTTACATCAACATTGATTATTATGCACTATTATTTTTGTTCAACGGAGATAAAGTCCTAATGTCTTCATGATAGTTCCTTTTTTTCCCCATCTGAGCATCGGGGAAAAGGCTGTCTTGCAATTGTTGAGGTCACTATTGTGTGTGCCCCATTTCTTCCAGGATCACTCTCTTTATAGGTTTTAATGGACTCCTAGTACTGTGAAGTGGTTCCATGGTACAAAGGCATTGTATTCCAAGATCTGGGAGACTGTAGAAATGAGCAGTGATGCCCTTCCTACCATCTTTCCAGAAAAATAAGTGATCTGGAAGCTGTTAGGCTTATTTACAGCAGGAGCACTTTCTGCACCTGCATAAACTCCAGGACACATTTACTAATAGTGTTTGTTGCTGTATGTGCTGCAGCTTTGAATTTTTTAATAATATATATTTTGTTAATATTTTGGTTATGCTGTCTTGTTATGAAGTGTACAAGAGTAAAGTGTTTTTAGCATGTGCTTCAAAGCTAAGTTTGACTGGGAAACTCAAAGCTCAATAGTCTGTATCAACAGAAATTCACTGCAGCCTATGTAATATTTGATGCGTCATAATTTATTCTACTCTATCTTGCAAATACATATTTGTGTGGCAATGTCATGCACAACACACACAACTATTAGATCCTTAAGATCAAACCCGTGTCATTCTTTTGGTCCACTGCAGTGCAGCAGTCAAAAAAAAAAAAAAAAGAATAAGTGAATCTTGAGTGAAGTGGCCACAAATGGCCAGGATAGAGCCCAGAGTGCTAATGCTTAAAATGTATACAAATATTATTGATTACAATTCTTTACTGTTAATATCAACAATAAGCTTTTTATTTTGAAATTACAAGTATAAAAAAATGCTGTTACGTTTACATTTAATGCTGTTACACTGTAATCCTTTCTTATAAGTATGGACATAGAATCAAGTGAACATTTTGAAATAAGTTTAATTGGAATTTTGTACTATACAAAAACAAAACAAAAACAACAACAACGACATATTAAACAAACAAACAAACACAGTCAGTGCCTTCATTTGTCCATTACATGTCAAACATAGCACTGACCCTTAGTCCCTGCTCATCAGCACATGCTTTCAAAAAGAGCTCCATGTCCTCTGCAAACTGAAAAACAAAGAGGAACATGTCCCTTGCTCCAGTGTCTTCTTCCTCTGACATGTCTCTTAAGACCCTCTGCTGGTCCCCTTGATTTAAGGACAGATATTTTGGCATTGTTACGTGTCCACGGAAAAGTGCCTTATTTTGGACAACCCACTGCACAGCAGGATCTTCAACAACTGCTGGCTCCTGTGTCAGGCACATGGGGATAAAAACACAGCTATTTCTCTCTTGCAGAACAGTTTTTTAACAGTTACTCAAATGTCACTAACCATGTAATTACACTACTGTTTAAAGTGAATACTGACCTGACTGACTTCCTGGAACTTGCGCTTTTTCAGTCTGAAAATGGGCACGTGTTGCCCTACAAGCACAGCTTTGGCTTCCTCTCTCCAGTGTGCAAATAGCTTGCCAGAGCTTAACAGAAAATGTTGATATTGTTAAGGAGTGTAAACTTTAACACAACATAGAACAGAAGTCAAAATATAAATACCTCCTTCAAGTCAAAGCTCTTTTTTTCTGACCACTGCCCGGGAATGAGCTTCACTGCAAGATTCCTTTTTTTCAAGACAGTTACATTCATTAGTTAACAGACATCATCATGATGGGTGTGAAATGTTTATTGCTCATAGCACCAACTGTAACTACAGGTCTTAGGAACACGACCTCAACAAAACAGCATAACAAAATGAAAAAGTACAGTCACATGCTCATAGTTGGTCAAAATAAAGCATTTTCAGCCTTAATTTGAGGTTGGCATATTTTATAAACTAATATTTAATGGTGTTTTATGTTAAACTAAAACGTTTGAAGACCCTATTTATGTCTGAAACTCATCTAAAGACAGCATCACTGACTTGATCAGAATGTGAAGATGAGAAATAGAATAAAATGTTAAAGCATCGTGCTGATATAGTTTATAAAAAAGCATGTGAGTGTACTCAAGATCAGCAGAACATGATCATGCACTTAACCCGGAACACTGAACAGGTTCCCGAAAATTCTGGAACAAACCAAAAATGCTTATAAAAATGTGACCTCAAAAGTGAAACATAATGTTGGCCACCAAATCCTGCCTTTGTGTATAATGGGTCAAGAAAGAGGATTTCTCTTTTAGGTGGCTTCAGTACCTAAAAGACAGTTAGCCATGACTTCAAACCTGAAAACAATGTCATTGCAAGCGATCACAATCAAAGATGTTTGAAACTGCGTCATAAAAGCTTGAATACATCTCAGACGCATAGCAACGTTCTAACAGTTTGTATGTGTCAAAAAACAAGACTTACACACAACTGGAAATGAGCAGGTGTCCAGAGAGGGAGAACTATGATGTCCATCCTCTGATCATCAGTCTGAAACAGAATTTTATTTTGAAGTATTCTGTATATGAACTCTCACCAAAGTTATAAAAAAATAATCTTTTTGATTACTTGCTTGTTTCTTTAAAGGACGGTACACTTACAGGAAAGGACTGCAATGGATCACAGCCATAGGGTGCAAGCCAAGTCCGGGTGACGTACAGATTTTCTATGTAAATGCTTATCCCCTAGAATGTAAAAACAGCACATTTAAAACAACAACTCTTTAAATTAAAGCTGGACAATCATCCTATACAACATACCGTACCTTTGACTGAACAATTTTAGTGATAAGCTCAAAACAGCCATTTGCAATCTGAAACAGAAAAAAATCATAAAAAAAATTAAAGTACACTTTATTATTTCATATTCATAGAAACAAAATACTTACAGTCAATTCCATTTCTTTGTTTAAACCCAGTGTCCAAAAATCTGCCCGCGTGAGGCATCCAGAAGACGTTTCAACAATCAGCTCATCTTTGGGTCTGCTGATGTCCAGAACAAAGTTGAGCTAAAAAAACAGAGGTGTCATAGACTGTGGATGACAAAATCAGATAAGCACTTTGCGACATCTGAAAACTTTAACATACAAGCTGTTTTTGGCCAGGGTGCGGTACAAAACACCACGATGAATAGCTGGCCAAAATGTTCTCAGGCTTTGTCAGAGCTTCGCACGGAGGTCCACACAGGTCAGGAAAAGTAGCATCTGTTGACCTTCTACTGGCTTTCTTGTTGTCAACTCCTTCCTGAGGATCTGTAGGGACTTTAACAGGTTTCAGACAAAACACTGCATAGAACGCATATTAAATGCATACAAATGCAAGAAAAATAAGCACTGTTTACAGAAGGAAATTCATTTGAAACAGCAGATAAGTTCGTTTACGAGCCCGCAACTACAACAAGATAATGAATGCAAGATTATTATTTCACCTGTATATGACAATCACTATTCAAAATAAGACATTTTACCAGTGTCACCAGACATTGAAGGTGCTGGGTTCAACACCGTTTCTGTGGTTTCTCTGGGTTTATTGCACACCGGGGACTTTCAGCACGAAGATTAAATGTAACACTGTATACAATGCCATGTGGACATAGTATTACAGACCATCCTCCTGCAAGCAAAGATTTAAAAAGTTGTTTGTGATTGTAATTACATATTTTAATGCTACTTCTAATAATCGCTAAGTGATGCTTACCAGAGGCACCCCATATGCTTTGAAACACCTTATCATATGTCTGCCTGCTCTTCATCTTCTCCCTCAGTCTGGTGATGAGATCAAAGCGGGAGCCTTTGGAGTCGATGTTGCATGCTTTACACAATTTTCTTACCACTCCAACCTGACAGTAATTAGGGAAAAATGTAAATGGAACAACCCCTGAACTTTATGTCACATCTTCTGAAAACATAAAAGCAATGTTACCTTTTGTTTTGCGAGTTCATCCAACAGACGGTCTTCTGTGACACCGCTAAGCTTTGCTTCATGTGAAGAGCTTATTCCTACTTTTTGAAACTCTGTGTTAAGCACAATGTCACTTGTTCGAGTTTCATTCCCGATCGATGGTGCCCAGGACGTGTAACTTAGTGGAACTGAAAATGGATTCTTCGCGCCGCCTACAGAAAATGGCATGTTTTTAATTACAATCTAAATTACTTTAAAACACTGAATGACTTTCAATAAGTTTTTGCCATCACTCACTTGGAAAAAACCCACGGCTTATCATTTCCAGGTGAACAGAGTTCCAAAAACCTTCAATGTCATGTTCACCATTGAAGTCTTCCGGGGCTTTGAGGTCACTCACTATAATAAATTGACTCATAAGAACATGCACATAATGTACACAATGAACTATGAACACAAATGTACTTTAAACTTACCTGCTAACTTGAACACCCCTTTTCTGTGTAAGTCCATAACTACCACTGAACTGTACAATGTCAACAGCAACTTTTAAGTCAACAAAGATACTGCAGAAGTGCTTAAAAAAGTGCATATTTATAACTATAAAGTATATTTAATACAAACATACCGTTGAAATGCAAAGCATTTTTCATATGCACACTTAGATGCTCCTCAATCTTTGCCCTGACAGTAGGGCTGAGAGTGGGGCACAGAGGGCAGTGAAAGAGTCCTCTGCAGCACGTGTTGCATTCCTGCAATTCTGGCTTTAAGATTGATATGTGCATCTAAAACAGAGAGAAAAACAGATAAACAGCATCTACACATTTAAGTTCAGGTTTTAGCAGTTAGACGGTTTTAGCCACAAAGTTCCATCTTTTAACAGCAAGAGCTATGTATAGCTTGTGGACTGTGATTGGTGTGTTTGCACCTTTTTTGGTTATGGTTTTATTTTGAACATGTGCGGTGATAAAGAAGAAAGAAAAAAGTATGCATATCCATGTCATGAAGAAGGTTGAAAGTAGGAGCTTATTTAGTCCTACTCCTTTCTTCCCAGTTCAAAGTAAATCCAACTAATCCGTTATCCTCCTGTGCAGGTATCCTCGCACAGCTCCGTCAGTCGAAGTAGGCACAACTAATATCAAGTGAGTAGATAAAGCCTCACATATACACATTAACTAGCACTGCTACCAATATCCATACCTTTACATACCCATGGAGTATGAACCATGCTTAAACATACTGTTAATCATAAACATTATTAGTAATAATTACAAGTACTACTTACAAGTCCAGCAGCAACAAAGCCAGATCACCATCAGTCCATGATTTCATAGCTTCCTTCAGTTCCCTCAAACAAGAGTAGGCCACTCCAGTGTTCACTCTGGTTTTAGCACTTAGCTTCACCATTAAAGAGATAATCCTCTTACTTTAACTTACTCTTACTTTAGCACCTACCCCTTTTTTCCAAACTTCCCAAAGTGTCATTTTTCCTGTCTTCTGTCAGATTTTAAACTGTCATACTTGTATGCAGGTCAAGTAGGACCATGCAGAGATAGCCACCTCAAGCTGAAGCCTGTTTTCCCTTAGACCCACCCAGAAGCTCATTGACTGGCTCTGCCGTGTCATGCTAACATGTGACTGGGTGTCCCCGCTGTCGCTCCAATTCACATTCATGAAGACTACTGAGACGTCGCACCTTTTTGCATGTCGACAGGAGTCACCTACATGTGAGTTTTTAGCAGCATGTCTGAGACAGAAAAGAAGACACGAGAGAGACTTCTGAAGTGAAGTTAGAGAAACCCACACAACAGAGAATCACAGAAGTTCGATATTTGTCACCCACCAAACAAGGTGGGTTAAGTGTCTTGCCCAAAGACAAAACAACAGTGACAGACTGAGCGGGGGCTCGAACCTGCAACCTTCGAGCACTTCAGTCCTGTGCCACCGTCGCCCATATATATATATATATATATATATATATATATATATATATATATATATATATATATATATATATATATATATATATATATATGTATGTATGTATAAGTTGGCTTCAAAAACTACAAGAATTATTTATGAACATTACCTTCAATTAATAACACATTGAAATATTTTTCCTAGTTTATGTTGTTTGAACTCAAAGATTTGATCTGAATTTTCAAACTTGTTGGATCGTGAATCTGTTTAAAAACTTGCGCTTTATGTGCCCCTTTTTTAACTTTGAGCGCCAGTCCTTCAAAAGACAAGGTGCTCCAGTTCCTTTCTACATGCAGCCACACTTTTGAAATGTGTGCAGAAAGCATCTATAGATTGCCTCGTTGAAAACTGCATAGACATCCCCAAAGGCAGCATATGCTGCTATAAAGATCTTAATGCACATTTCTGCTCTAATGCTGCCATCACAGAAACGTAAATTACCTATACCAAGGGCACTGTTACAATCACAAACAACCACCGTGCCTGGCTTTTAGAGTACATTGTCATGTTCATCAGAACAAACCTTTTAGTCTCTTCATTAACTATATGTACCCCCCCCCCCCAAAAAATTTAAATAAAACATTGACTCCTTTATGCCGTCCTTTATTGCACATTTTATCCTCAGTGGCACAATATGAATGAAACATTAAGGATGACCTCTCCTTGACCTTCCCGACTCATTCGAATTGGGCTAAATTGCGACAAATATGGAAACCCCTTTTCAGTGTGAAGACAGTTTAAACCAGGTCTACTGTTAGAACTCATCAAATGGGATTTTCTTGTTTACTCCACAAACCTGAAATCATGCTTATATATATCTGAATTTTGTTTCCACAATGATCCTAGAAGAAGACAAAAGGAGGATTTTTCTTTTCAAGTGCCTCTCAACATAAAAATCATGAAGCGTTTCTCAAAACCAATATAAATTTTAAAAAATGATTCAAAAGATCTGAATTTTTTTAATTTAAAGTTAAATGAGAATTAAAAAATTTAAAAAATTAAAAAGCAGGGTGGCCAAAAATAAATAAAAATACAGAATCGGCAGAAACACCAGCACGATGGAGAAGTTAAACTGAACAGGTGAGGTTTCAGCTGCTTTTTAAAGGACACCACTGAATCCACCTGATCTGTCACCTTTGGTCTTTAGCCTGGTGCTGCACAACCAGTGGGCTTTGGTCACTGGATCTCAGGGACCTGCAGGGGGTGTAGGGACTGAGAAGATCACCAATGTATGACGGTGCTTGTCCATTTAATTGTCAATAATCCAAGCATGAGATGAAGGTGTGGATCACAATTTCCATTTAAGAATGTGACAGAATGGGACTCAGCTTAGCAACGTTCCTGAGATGGAAGAAGGAAGAGCAAAGAGAACTGACATGAGAATCAAGGGTGAGAGCTGGGTCAAAGGTCACTCCAAGATTCCTGACAGAAGGTTTGGTGTGAGAAGCAAGCTGATCAAGAGAGTCTCTGACTTTGGGAACCAGCTTGTCTGGGGCACAGATGAGGTTCTCAGTCTTATCTTCATTCAGCTGTAGAAAGCTCCCAGCCATCCAGGTTTTGATAGAGTCTAAGCAGGTGTGGAACAGCTGCAGCTTAGACATCTCATGGGACTTAAAGGAGATCTACAGTTGGATGTCATCTGCATAATGATGGTAAGAGATTCCTTTGAAGGAGCTCAGAATTTGTTGGAGAGGGAGCAGATAAATGAGGAACAATAGAGGCCCCAGCACAGAACCTTGAGCAGCACCATGGAGGTGGAAGAGTACTGAAACTTGGAGATGGCCACAGGAACTCTCAGACAGATAAGAGGAGAACCAGTCCAGTGCAGTTCCTGATAGGTTTATCCAGTGTCTCCTACCACACAATCAAACCATACCTTTTCTTAGCATTACATTATGACTGCATCAATATGTTGTAGCTTAGATGAAAATAGCATTAGTACTCCTAATAGCTTTTTGGGGTCTTGCCAGCAAGGCTACTCCTGCTTCAATTTGCTATGGCCTATCTATGCCCATGTAAGTGTGGCTTGAAAATGCATCAAACTATGTGTTTCTTATAGCTTTTAGGTGGTATAAGGCCACAATGTATTCATGATGTGGATCCATCATGGATACATAATCAAAGTAAATCTGCAGAAGAAGTAAGTTTTAGTCTCTAGGGCAGGGGTGGGCAATTCTTTTTTACAAGGGGCCACATGAGTTGTGTCAGAGGGCCACATCAACAACAACTTGCTCAAATGTAAAATTCACTAAAGTATAAATCACAAATAGCTGGTATTGTTAATCAGAAGAATAAAACTTAAATACAATTCTGTAAATATTGATATTGGGCTATGGTGCTATGCTATGTGAAATTGTGGCGCATAAGTCAAGTAAACAAAAACAACCACTGACTCAGTGTAATTTAATTTTACCTTGCTTAAAATAACAAACAAGAAGTTTAAAAAAATGCAACTTGTCATGCTTTCCTCCTCTTCAGCGAAAGTCAGCCAGCCTGTTCTGGACTTGAACAAGGGCACTGAAATCTGGCTGAATGTCTGAGGTGGTTATGCGGAGAACAGCCTAGAGGTGGTCATTGATGATAGAGGATCGGTGTTTGGATTGCTTGAACTTCATCACCGAGAACGTCTGTTCAAATACAGATCCAAAGACGACTAGAATCCTCTGAGCTCGACTCCTCAGGTGTGGAAAGTCCTCTTCTTTGAGAGAGGAATAAAATTCCAGCAGGGACACAGACCTGAAGAACTCAGCCAGAAGCGTGTCAGGCTGCAGGTCAATGAGTTCCATCTGAACATCACTTGGAGCATTATCCTCACTGCAGTTGAAGGGAGAAAAAGCCACGTCCATTTGTTTTTCAAGAGCTTTAAAATCACATTGAAAACTCTGCAGGCACTGCTTCTAACATGGGTCTTGTGGAGGTGATTGACTGATCGCATGGCCTCCTTTAGTGTTGGCAAGTGAGTCAGAAGATTGTCCTTCACTTGGTTTGAGATAAGCTGCAACTTCCTCATGAAAGCCTTTACTGCATTGTACCTCTCATGCACAAAAAGTTCCCCGCACTGCAGTTTGATATGTAGTTGGTTGATTAGTGCAGTCACATCCACAGCACATCCCTGGTCTGCCACCTAGTCTTCATCTGAAAGCTCTGGGACGGCATGTCCTTTCTTCACACAGAAATCCTGAATCTGTTCTCTCAGATCCCAGACACTTTTAAGTACCTCGCTTAGGCTGATCCACCTGACAGACCAGTGATAGCTGATATTGCCAATTTATGGATGGGTACCTTTGACATTTGAATCGATCCGGTACTAATTCCCGGTACCTACGACTCGATACCGGTACTTAACGGCAGTGGCGGTTCTACATCGAATTACTCCCCGGGCGAGGCCCCCTTTGAGCGCCCCCCACCCCCAACCGCCCCCCCACCACCACCACCACACCACCCCACCTGCATGAACACACGCATGTTTTCTACAAACAGGCATGTTTTATTAGAACGACTATTGAACATTCATTTTTCTAAGTTGCACATATTTACATTAATTACTATGAAGTTGTCAGAATGTA